AATATAAAATAAAATAATAATAATAATTAGAAGATTAAAAAAAGATTACCACCAAAAATAATGAAAAGTATACGCAAGGTAAGTCAAATAAAAATAAATTGCCATCATAAAAAGGTGAATGTGCATTTTGCACGAGTACTCTTCATATGCTCCGATACCAAAACATATCGCACTCGGACAGACCTCACCTCATCCCCACCTCGTGTGTGGCAAAATTCTTGAAACATTCATGATTAGATGTCTTGCGTAATTATTAAAACGGAGATAGCGCCGCGGTCCGATGACCCGCAGGCTTACAGCTGTTTGGAGCGATGCGGGATCAATCCCGCGGGCCTCCACATGGCTGCTCAGAATATTATTAAGAAAAAAAAGATTTTTTTTTTACCTCCCCTAAAGCATCAAATAGCCTCTTGTCGGATTCACCCGATGAGACCTGAATGGCCGAGAACTATCATCGGTACAATATATCAAGAGCGGCGCTAACAATGTGTTTGGAGGAAATAAGCGATAACACAACATGCCGGGCCTCCTTTGTGAAGAGGAGTAAAATAAAAGTGATCGTCTTTGAAAATAAAAAATAAAAAAATAGAAGAAATAGCTCTGGAGAATAAGCCAATTAAATTGACCAAAAATAAGGCGGCGACGAAGACGCGTACTCGTGTTTGTGCCTCTTCGGCGGCGGCTCATCCAGGTAAGCGTTGTTTGAATGTCGACTTGACTAGATGGAGTCCATACCGCTTATCCTGAAGGCTCATAGAAGAGGGTTGACATTTGGGTGAGAAGACACACACACACACACACACACACACACACACACACACACACACACACACACACACACACACACACACACACACAAAAAAAAAATATTTACACTCCCGGAGTCATTAAACACAGATGCTTGGTCAGTAGTAAATAATACTCTGCTGTAGGTAACACCTGCTTGTATTTGGGAAGCATGTTGTCTGACCAAAAAAATAAATAAAAAATCAAACCCATCTGTGCGAAACGTTAAAAATAATGAGGTGTGAGGTCTGGGCAGGTGTTACGAAAACGGCTTGATTAAGTTGAGGAAACTTTTTTTGGGGGGGGTCACGAGAATGGATCGCTACCTCCTGACAGTTCTGTTATATTTAACCCTTTCAGGCACCGCTTATCATGTTATGAGGTGCCAGGATTAAATTCATGATTTTTATTGCGTTTTATTTTTATGAAGTGTTTGCTCGGATATGAACTTATCCGTTGCCAGCCTGTGATCAAACAGCCGACCTTTTTGACTTCTATAGCCGTCAATGGCGTTGAAGGTTTTTTTTTTCCATTTGATTTTTGAAGACGGCAGCTTTGCTTGTTTGAATTATTTTTGAACTCATTTGCATCGTGGGATAACTTGACAACTTTCCTTGTGATATGAAAGGCCATTAAAAAAAAAAAAAAAAAGAAAAAAGAAAAAAATAGTCCCAAACTGTGAGTGGAAATACCCGTCACGCAGCCTCTGCAAACCGAGCGGGCAATTTAACACCGGCTCATTTTTTGTCGTTTGATGCCTGAACGACAGCTTTGGAGCGACTTAGTGTCCCTTGGCCATCAATTAGGCGCAGACCTCATTGACACACATAAAATAAATAAATAAAATAAACGAATAACGCCCGCCATTCAGTGCTTTCGGTAATTGCGGCCGTGACAGTTGATCATTACCCATGAAAACCGCCGGGTTTTGCAAACACGTGGCCGTTTGATGGTCCTTCACCACTCAAGTGTCACTCAATTCTGTGCAGCTGTTTGTTTCCATTTGGTTATTTTCTTCCCCTCCCAAGGCCAAATGGTCATTTCACTTTAATGAGTTCACCTCTATAAAACGCAATGTAGCAGAGGGGTGCGCAGAGGGGGCCCGGATTCGAAAGGCTAACTCAGAGTTTTTATCCAAGTCTGGGGGACTAAAGGACAACAGGCAATTATACTAATTGCTTTGGCGCAATTACGACAACAATGTGTGTCTTCCAAAACTTGCCTGAACACAATCCATTACAGGACGTGAGAGGAGATTTGCATAAAGTTAAAACAAGTCAAAATTATATTACGTCAATGATGAAAACATTTGACATTGCCCGAGAATAAAGTTGGATAATTAATTTGAGTAAAAATCCAAATTTTTTCAGAATCAATGTATGATGAGAAAACATCTTAAGCGAATAAAGTTGGAATATTACAAAAACAAAATCATAACGTTATTTAAGAAAGGTAAAATTAAAAAATAAATGAAGTTGCAAGAGTGACAAGGATAAAGTCATCTCGAAAGAAGGCAAAAAAATGTTTGTCTTCATGATTACAAAACATGGGAATTTTTATTTTATTTTATTGTATTTATTTTTTTAAGACTAACCTTAAAATTGACACTGTTCTGGAATGAACTGAATGGCGATGGAATCCCACAAACTTAGACACAAACAATAATACTTACAAAGCAAGAGGCTAAAGCGCAAAAACGACTAACGATGAGCTCGAGAGGTCGCGAGACAACACTTGCGCAAGAGCAGCAACGAGATCAATAATCCGACGCAGATTAAGTGCTCGGGAAATCCTTAAATACGTGATTTAACTTGGTGATCAAACTGGCAGCAGGTGTGCACGCTGGAGGACGAGCCCTCCTCTGCCACCTTCTGGAGACACACAAGAACAGGATCATGGCAAAAGTATGACAAAAATTTTATTTTACGAAAATAATGCTGATGTTGAAATATTTCAAGATCAATGAAATTTTACAAGGATAAATTAAGAATAATTATTTTATTAAAATTGTAAGACAGCATTAAAAAAAGTGTGAACTATGACAAAAAAGTTTGACATTTTCGGAAAATGATTGTAATATCTTACAATTTTTTTAAAAATTTTGATAAAAAAAATGGCGTCGCATTTGTCTAACAAACATGTCGGCCTCTAGAAAGCTTATGTGAAAAAAAAAGCCTCAATCTCACAAAAATAACGTTTGTTCAGCCAAATCTTTGAAATTCGGAATTTGGAAAATGTCTGCCTTTCGCGATTTCACTTTCTAGGGACTTCCACTCATTAAAAGTTTTGCCTTCCTGAGCCAGCGTCGACTTGTTACTCTGAAGAGTTCTTGTACACGCGGCAGATGTCGCAGATGTTTTACCGATGCCACCGCACTGACAATTCTTCCCACTTAAACCTAAACTGATACAATTATGTCCTTCTCCGCTGCCCCGGGAGCTTGCCTCAAGTATCAACACTGTCCGCCGCGATTATCATTTGACAAAAACATTTTTAATTACGACATTAAGCGAGGTGCTCCAGCTGAAGCGTACCGACATACAGAAAACGTTTGACGCAAAGGTAGATAATGGGATTCCGTGTCAATAAACACTTGAGTTTTTATTCACATCAAGTGCCAGCATTTAAGGCAGGGAGGGGGCGGGGGGTGGGGGGTTCAAGAGTTGTTTTCATTTATTTATTTTGATGTGACTTTTCACATGTTACGGTGATTTTTTTTTCTCTCTCTCTCTTTAAGAACCAACTCATTTGATTGCTTTCGCTCAGGCAACCTTGTTTCAAAAACATCTTCTAATGCTAAGGTAGCCCCCAACCCCTCGTGACTTGAATAATTCATGAGCCGCAATCCAATAGTATTGGATTGGCTGAGGGTGTGGGGGTTTGGACTCAAAAAGTTGAATTACAAAACATCACATTCTTTCATCTAAGTTTTTTTTTTTTTTTTTTTGCAAAGTGCAAAGGTCAATTATGATCCCTCTGGCATGAATAAAACACCGAAGGGCTCCAAAGCCTTTGGAGAGATTTCTCGCCCCCCTCAACCCACTCCGCACTTGTGTAGATTATTGACACTTACTCCATCCGTGTAAGAAAAAGGACCCTTTGTCTGTGGTCTCCTGCGCTGTTAGTGTCTCAATCGCCTTAGGGTAAAAAAAGAGGCCTAATTTGCACTGGTCTGTTTTGGGGCCAATTATTATAATGCCGCAAACACTGGAAGCAGAATGAAATTGAAAACAAACAAAAAAAAGAATAAATAAATAAAAAGTGCTATCGTGCATCGTAATATCCCACTTGTTAAAGATGCATTTTATGTGTCCCGGTATTTGTAATTTGCGGGGGTTCACCTTTTCCTGTTCCAATGTTGCATGTGGTCTTCACGTGCGGACCCTAACATTAAATTGCAGATATAAAAAGTCTACCCCCACCCCCACACAGTACAAATCTCAGAACAACTCAGTTGAAAAAAAATATTCAAGAAACGAAGTCAAAATAAGCAACAGTGATATGGTTGCAAAAGTGTGCACACCCTTGTAGTGTATGGTGTAAATATCTATTTGGTTGACATTTTGATTGTGGATTTGTTTGGAGCCATGAAAACTGGTTCAAGAGAAGACCTTCACAGCATTGCAAGCAACAGAAGTGAGTCCTGATGCATGGTCCGGCCTTTGGCTTGCGCCAACACTAGATGTCAGTGTTCTCGCTGCACTGTGAACCTGCAGGTAATGTGAAGAACAAGCAGCCTGTTATTATTATTTTTTTTTCACCACTCCACACTTGAAAGTGCTCCGTCTTCCACGGATTTCACACTTTAGCCTCCTGCGTGACGACCTGATTACCGAGGGCATCACTTTTATCTCGTAATGAGCCGCAAACTGCTGAGCACTCTTTTCTTTCTCAAGGAGCCGCACTCTAATCGTCAGTGGTGTGTGTTTATCTCGCAACTTGTTACCAAATAATTGGTATATTAAAAAAAAATTGTCGACTGTATACGGCATAGGCTGTCTGCATCGGATGTCTCCTTTTGCACAAAAGAATGAACCTTTAAAAAAAAAAAGATCACTTTTGTGTGTTTTCGTTTACTTTCGGAAAAGTCATCAAATGTAAGGGCAGAAGAGCAACATTTAACGATGCCAAAATGTCCCGTAAAACAACAACAACCAGCTGGAACGAGGAGGGACTACAATTTTGAAAAATGAAAAAAAAAAAGGAAGCGGAAGTTGACTCAACCAATGAGATTGCGTGACGTTTTCAAAACCGGAAAAGGGAAACCCAACCCGAAAAGGGCGCCTGGATTGAAAGTGAAGACGTTAAACTCAGGTAAAATTCCTGGTTATCCTAATACATAATATTTATATCTCAACGTTTTAACATTTGGGAGGAACGCTAAAGTCCCCTAATACTAAAATATATCACGTGTCAAAAAAAAAAATACTTTCTGTTTTGCGTTGTCATGCTTTGTATGTTTAGCTTCTCTCATATAAGAGCACGCAAAATATGTGACATTGGAAAGAGGCCAAACGTCGCATTTTACAAAGAATACATGTCGTTTAATAAAGTATGTCCAGTAAAAATAACTTCGTCTACATGTTTGGAAATAACAACTATCAGTCAACTGTAGTGCACAGAGATGGGACATAAACGTTGTATTGATAGTGTGGAAAATGGGCAGTGAAGAAACCGTGTCAAAATGCACTCTTGATGATTGTTTTTTTTTTCCTGATTTAAGAAATGCTGTGATTGTACATTCATGCTTTTCTGTGCAGATAAGCACGTCATCATATCAGCGCGTTGTTACACGGCTATAAAAGGATATGTGTTGTTCATCAAAGTCTTCAAACATTCACCGCTGAGAAATGTGTGTAAGGCCCCTGATGTTGCTGTATATAAAGCGTCTCTTGTGCCTGCCCAGGATAAACTCTTCGACGCCGCGACCATGAGTTTCTCTCCGTGTCCACCTGATGCGCTCGCTGGCAACAGCATCCAGGAGCAGAGGGACCTCTGGGAGAGGAAACGGAGCCGAGCAGCCAGAGAATTGGTGCAGTCGGAGCAGCGGTACTGCCAACAGCTCGGGCTAGTCACCACTGTAGGTTAAAAATGTTAAAAAAATCACATACAACGCTACATTGATTTCGGAGTGATTCAGCTTTACGTGCCGTCGCTCTGCCGCTTTTATATTGATTTTATGTTCATGCTAACACACAGTGCAAAACACCATAGACGGGCGAACAAAACTAGCATCACTGTTGCTTTGATTTGAACTCGTGTTCTCCTGATCATATCATGTGACTTTCAGCTGATTGATAAGATAAGATCATTTGGATGTGCTTTTCTTTCTTTTTTTATTTTATTTATTTTATTTTTTGACGATGTATCGGATCAAGACTCGGTGTTGGCAGTTACTTATCATGTGACTTTCAGCTGATTGATAAGATAAGACCATTTGGATGTGCTTTTCTTTCATTTTTTTTTTTTATTTTATTTATTTTATTTTTTGCCGATGTATCGGATCAAGACTCGGTGTTGGCAGTTACTTGAAAACAAATGACTCAGACTTGGGTGCCAAACAAATAAAAAACGTGATTGGGGGGCCATCCCTAATTTGAACACAAACAGTGCAAACGAAAGACGGACAAACACAATACTGACAGGCATATATTCTTTATCCTCAGTGAAAACCCACGCGTATGACTGCAGCTCAATGAGTCACGGAGATGAAGATATTTTTTCTTCCTTTTATTTCCTCAAACAGTTCAACCCTCTGAGAGAATTGAACTTTCAAGGTTCCGGTATGTCACGAACAGTGTAAGACCTTTTGTAGTCATTTCCATTCAGCGTTCTACAGTACATAAAGGTGTCTGCATAGTGAATAGCAACACGCCGAAAGTAGCGGGCCTTTACTTCCTGCGGGGGCCAACAGACTTTACCACCCACCGGTGTTTTGCCGAATTTCTACTCAATTACTCTCCCTCCGCCCGTACACTCCAATTAGGAGTCATTTTAAGCCTTGTGGCTCGTTCAATTTGCTAATCCCATTTCCACTGCCAATGACTTGAGACCAACACAGCTGCCACTTGAGTGGGACGACATTTTTCGAGACTTGTTTCTTTTGCAACAACCTCCTTCTGCAGCCGGGAGTTGTCTGAGGGGTAAAAGCCAGCCAGCGGCGCGACAAGTGCTGACGATCACGCCTGGAGAAAATGAGATTGGGGTTCATTAACCCTTTCGGCGGTTACTACAGTGGACGGGTTTATCATGTTATCAGGTTACACGGTGCATGAAAGGGTTAATAAAAGACTCTTATTGTGAATTTTTTTTTTACTAATGCAAACATGCACGACACAACCGATGAAAAGTTTACCCAGTCGGCGCTGAGCCGTCTTCCTTGTTTCTTTTGCAGTACTTTGTGGAGATTTTGAAGGCCAAAGGAACCCTGAGGCAGGACATTCGAGAAAGCATCTTCACTTCAATTAAAGCCATTCACTCAGTAAACCAGTAAGTATCCCCCTTGCATAATTTACGAATATCAGCGCCGCTTTAAGGCCAGCGGAGCGACCGTGTAAAAAGCGATGGCGAACGCAGGCGGTCCCCTGTGTGGGAATGCACTCGTGATAAACTCGGGAGGTTTATTAAAGCATCGGCCTTATCTTCACCATTAGTGGGAGTCAATGATACTCTGTCAGGGTATAGATGTTCTCTTCGCCCGCCGCCCCTTGGGTACATTAGTGTATGTGTTATAATTTGAGAAGATAAAGCGCAAAAATGGAAATGATCGTTCATAATGGCAGACTTGTATGAATGGTAATTGAGATGCAACCTGGCTTCTCATAAATGATGCACACAGGTCTCGCGCCGTCATAAAAAGGGATTGTTCGTCATGGTGCATGTCTTTAAAGAGGTGTGTCAAAGTATTGCATTTATATTTTATTCATCAAAATTGCATTTCTTTTTCTCTTTTTTTATGGAAGCGTTTATTTATAGTCCTCCGGAATGCCAACTCGGTAAGCCTGAATCAACAGTGCCTCTGCTGTCTACATTCAAGCGACGCCGCCTTGCCTCAATTCCTTCAAGACGCAATTAATCAACAATCAATTCCACACAATCGACCACATTTTTGAATTAATTCTAGCGATCGTCTATTTGTCTGCCATCTCCTGGTCGGGGTGAAAAAAAGAAGAAGTAGGGCAGCGTGTGCTACAATGAAGACTGAAGTATGAATTACACAGTGTGACGTATTGGATAAATGGTTCTGCTCTTCCCATACATCTTCATTATGGGCCCGGCTTATTGAATTAGTGGTTTAAAAGCAACGGCAAGTAGTAAGTACTCCATTTCAAAACATTCCGTTGAGAGACAGTGCGTTAGACGGCGTTATCACCGCTAAGTGATCGATTAGATTTTCCCATATTCTCTTCTCCCATTCCGACTTTTAGTTGCCAATAAATATCGAGGAAAATGAAAAGATGTCAACCAATATATAGGGTGCACCGCATTAATAAGGTGCATAGAATAGAAGCGACAATAGCGGTTGCGTTAAGCATCCACTAGATGGAGCTATGCTAAAGGGAATACAGTACAATACAGTTTTATTTATGGTGCGCTTTATAGTGCGTAAAAGACGGTCTTGTAAAATTGCTGCATCAGTGAAGTAAAAGTTCCAACCATATTTGTAGTCGGTCAACATATTTGTCCACATGGACGTGGGTATTAAAGTTTTATTAAAAACGGCATTAAAAAAATATGGAAAATGAAATTTGCTGATACCTGCAGAAACCCTGAATAAAGTCCACAGTCCACCCAAGTCGGGCCACAGTTCAAGTGTCCTGGTGTGAGTACGCCCTAAGGCTTGTTGATAAACATGATTTTGTTCCCCCTTGCGCTCGCCCTTGCGCATTCAATCATAGTTAAATTTGAATTCACCCCCAAGTGCACAGTGGATATATATTCATCTGATGTCCCTACGTTTGTTTACTTGCCCGCAGAATGCAGTGGGGTAGAGTTAATAAATGCGACCATTTTTTTTTT